TCACATTTGATGAATGTCTTAAACAAATTATGTAGTGTTTTTGAAACTCCATTTATCATCTGTAAAACAGAAGTGAAAGATGATCATGGCAGTACACGCAGTGTGTGTTTGTGGGTCAGGCACATAGCGGGCACTCAGTAAATGGCAGACAATGTAATTACTACAGTACTCCCTGGGCAATGCCTTCAAAGCCCACAAATTCAGTTAGCACTCCCACCAGCCATTTCTGCTGTTCTGGCTCCTGATAGCAGAGTGCTGGAACCTATGGTCACATATTAATTAAGTAACTATTTGCTGAGTATACATTTCCCTGTGAGAACATTAGCTCCATGTGGACAAGAACCACACTAGTCTTGCCCACCAAGCAAGCCCTGACATCCAGCAGAAACTTGACATTTACCAGGCTCCCAAAGTTTGGCAGGAGAAAATGTGAACCATTCATTTCGATGTTGTAGATCAGAGAAGAATTCACAGAGGAGATATACTTGATGCAGAGACCTTGAAAAAAAATTAACATGAATGAAGTTTTCAAATACATTCCAGAGTTAATGATTATTCCACAAGATTTTACCCTTTGACATATTTGAATGTTTTCTGAGGTTATATATCTTGCAACTAACTTTGCAACATCCACTCTTTTAGAAGTATTTTTGGAAAACTAAAGCCATAGCTTACAAGTAAAGAAATCAAATAACAACTGTAAGCTGGAATGAAATTAATTTTTTGCATACATGGTACAGACTAATTGCAAAAGTCTTTTAGAAGAGAGTAGAGTCCCTCAGTGGAGGTCTGGGTGGTTTCATGAAGAAGGTGGGATTGACCTAGAAGATTTTGAAAATCCCAAGAAAGAAGTAGGTGATGGATGAGGGGAGGCCAAGGTTGGAATCAAGTGGGGCACAGAGTCTGTGTCAAAAGAGATGCAAGAACACAAAGAAGGGGCCCAGAACACTAACCAGGCTGAAAATGCCAGCAAAGAAATCAGGACTTCAGTTTAGATCTAGTGGATCCAGTCCAAAATGTTAAAGGATGAAAAACGAAGTGTTTGGGGAAGACTGATTTCATAATAATTTTCAGGAAGACTAATTAGAGCTAAAGAATATCCAATTAAGAGGTGATAAATTTTAAAAGATAGAGGCATTATGAAATATAGACTAGCCAATTTACTTTCTGATTATGAAAGCAGCTCTCAGGATTTTGTGAGTGGGTGACCAGAAAGTGATAGGACCATCTCAGAAATAGAAAAGAGCTCAGGAAAGCCTCTGGTGGCTAGATGCATGTTTTCTTCAGGGGTAATCAGAATGAAGTACCCTCAGGAAAATGGAGGTGTCAGATTTTACTCTTTTTCTTACTGTTGTTATTCTCATTAGGGTTGTGATATAAGCCTCAAGGCTAACATGCCATTAGTTTTGATCTTAGTGATCGTCAACCCTTACTGGGCTTGGAAGGAAATGGAAGGGGTGATAAAGGGAGGGACCAACAGATCCTGGTAATGGGTTTTATAAGGTAAGTGATGGTAACATGAGGGATTCTGGAAGAAGGTCTGGTGGTCACCCATGAGGGTTTGTTGGGTGCTGGAGCTACCACTTTAGACAATTAACTCTTTTCCTATATATCAATTCAGTCAGAGTAGAGAAAATTGAACAAAGCTGAATAAACTAAAATGAGAATAAAGTTTGACTTGCAATGAGTGACGGGCTCGTCTCTCAGGTAGTCAAGTCAGCTCCCTGGTTAAACTAGTCCTGAGAAAGCTTCCTGATGATCAAAGGGAAGTGGATAAGCAGAGAAGGTGTTTCATCTGGTCTAGGTGAGAGTGGATATGAAATTTCTACCTTATATTCAATTTCTATCTCTTCTTACTAGTATATTCAAGTCTACCATTTTGTTTTTCTCCCCTGGATAGGAGAGGGACTCTCCAGATCATAGCTTTTATTTTTTTTAAGTTCCCTTTGTTTATTTTCTAATTGTATGGTCCCCAGAAGCCTGTGGCACACCTGGATGGCTTTTTAAAATTAAACCCAGGAGCCTCACCCTTAGAGATTCTGATTTAGTGTGACCCCAGTAAGGCCTGGGAATCCAGAACACTAACAAACCTCTAGGGACTCCACAGCAGCATTGAGTGACTTTGAACCAATCTGATTTGGCAGGCAGGTAAGGCTACATGCCTCCACACCTACTTTAACACACGCAGCTATGCATGTGTGTATTTTATTTGTTTTCTTTTCTGCCAAAGATTGTTTGAACACAGATTTTTCAGTTCCTTAACAAGAAGTGGTCAACTATTTATCTAAGTTAACCTTGACTTTTGATAAATGCTGTGTTTTTTTTTCAACAAGGTCACAAAACAATCATTTGGAATCCCACCATTAAATAATAACCACATTTGTACTTTCCACAATTATTTATTGATCATCTTCTACGTGCCAAGCACTGTGTGTGCTAAGCACCCTGAGAATGAGAAAGATACGATCTCTGAAGTTATGTTCTAGTGTGATGGGGTGAAAAAAGATATCATAGAAGTACATAAGTAAAGTCATTTCTCATTGCAATTAGGGCTGTAAGGAAAATCAGCAGGGTGCTGCAGGAAAGAACGTTGGGGAACATAGTTTAGCCAGGGTGGGTAGAGACAACTTCTCCATGGAGGTGACTTTCTAACTAGCCAAAGAAAGAAGAACCAGCTGTGCTGGCTTCTAAGAGCTCAGGTAACAGTTGAAGGGGTCAAAGAACGGAAGAATGGGAAATAACAGTGAGCTGATGTTAATGGCGGACTGGGAGATGGTGAGGGTGAGACAGGCCCTGTTGATGGCCAGAGTTATGTGAAGTGAGAACTCTTCTGTTAAAGGCAAGGTGGTCAAGGAACTAAGTTTACTGGCCTGAGAGAGAAGTGGTTTCAGGAAATGAAGTTTCATCCACCTGAGAAACTGTATGGGAAGCAGAGTGGGGTGGGGGGCTCGGAGGGGAGGGCAGTTTTCATTTAAAGAAAGTTATGGAAAGCAAACATTCCAAAATTCTCTGGAGATCAAAGGGGAGCTTGATGGACCATAGAGCATAAGGTCACACCGTGGAGGACTGATTTTGTTTTTGTTTTTGTTTGTGAAGCAGAAGAGCAAATTGATTAGTGCGCATGTAATGAAATACAAATTGCAGTGTGGATCATAATGGAAAACTGAGCGAGCAACTTTGAAATTCATTATGTCACTGGGATAAGTGGTATTACTACTACAACTACTACTACAACAACAATAATTATTATTTATGGGTGTAATAGAAGTAGTAATAGAAATATTCATGGCAATTTTATTTTGGTGCTAAATACTATGCTAAGAATGCCCATGCATGTTCCAATAACCCTGAGATCTTTCAAATGTACAGTCAAGTTGTATAGTGTTGGTGACAACTTTATGGACTACAAAGCATTGATTAAAACAAAGAAAGATATAGGGCTTAGAAGACATCTTGGTAGTCTCTAGAAAAGACAGCAGACAAATAATTTCAGAGTTGAAAATCCAAATAGATGAGTCAACAGTATACAAATAGAAGATTGGGGCAGCTCCTTCATGATGCTATACAAGTAGGTTAATGGTGATCAGGAAATATTCTCAATCCTCTTGCACTTGAAAAACAGCAACCCCCTTAAAGCTTGGTAGGTAGAAGGATCAAGAGGCCTGACTCCATCCAGTGCTTCTTTCCTCTGGTCTTTTACTCATTTTCTAAAAAATCCCTGGTCATCCTTGAAGACCTAATTCCATTCATTCATTCCTTCAACAAAATTTGAGAGCAACTACAATCAGCTAGGAACCATTCTAGATACTAGAGAACAAATGGTAAATGTAAGAAACTCTCCCCACTACTTCCTCTACCTCTAGGCTGGTGGCACATGCTATAGCCTAACTGTGTGTTATTTGTTTGTGAAAGTTCCAATACCATGCCAAGGACCCTGCACATTTATCTCTAGAATGGACTTTTCCATAATTCTTTCCAACTCTAAGAGAGGTCAGGCTATTTCTGTGCTTAGAGCCTTCCAAAGGCTCCTTAGTTTACCCAGAGTAAAAGAATAAGGCCTTACAATTTTTGTCTCTATCAGAGATGAGGATCTACCATGATGCCACCTTATAAATCCCAACTTGCAGGTCTTCCTTTACCCAGTTAATGCAAGAGTTATAGGAAGCATACAGTCAGATGAAGAGCACATGATAAATGGGTAGTAGACTCATCCTTCAGGAAAGAGAACTAATATCTCATTCTACTTTTTCTACTATTTTACATAGCAGAATGTCAACTAGACTTTTCTGGATTCCTTCGTTATTCTTCACTTTGGAAAGAGGGAAGTACTCATGCATGAATGAAATTGTATGATATTATAACTCTAGGTCCCAAATTATTGTGATGAATAATTTCATAAAAATAAAACATTTTCCAAGAGAAAGAAATACAACATTTTCAAGTGCTTAGAAAACTGAAATGATCATCAAGATTTGATAATTGGCCTGTTATAATTTTTAAGTTGTAACATATGACTTTGAACTACACTGGGCATTAGAGTCACCAAAAACCAAACAAAAAAAAATCAATCAAATGCAACTATGTTTTATACCTACATTCTGATGCACTAAATTAGTACTTGAAGATAATATGCACACTAAAATATCAAGAATCACTGATGTACAGAAAAATTAAGCTACATATGATTGCACCATAGGCAAAATCAGGATTGAAATCCAGGGCCCCCTTCTCTCCATCCTGTAGATACTATTTTTCATTTCAGTCTGTTAATCCTGTCTGTGTCCACTCCGGGTGCCATTTTTCATTTCTCATTGTTGTGTTTCAGTGAAGAAGCTTCCAACAAGATATATGTTTAGCATGCCTTGCTAAATTGTTTCTGGCAGCTTACATGAAGTTATGTGCTCTGCTCAGTCATATTTTAAAACAAACGTGATGTTTCTTATCTAGTATGCCCACACTTGTGAATGTGCTTCCAACATTTCTCCTTTCTATTTTAGCAGAACCCCAAATTTCACATGCCTGAGGATCTGAAGGAAAAAATGGAAAATCTACTCAAGTCCCAGATACCCACTGCGATATTAACCAAGACCAGCCACACACAAGGAGAGAATCAAGCTCTGGGTAAGATTTCAGGGTCATCATCAACAAACAAGTTGACTGAAAAACATCAAGGAACCAAGACTGTTTTCAAGAAGTTCAACGAGATGAACTGGCCTTTGGACATTCGGCCTTTAAACAAAAGTTTAGTTAAAGACAACAAATGGAAGAAAACTGAGGTGACACAAGAGAAACGCAGGTCTTTCCTTGGGGAGTTTTGCAAGAAATATGGCGGAGTGGGTCATCCCCAATCCCATCTCTTCCATATGGTATCCAGGATCTATGTAGAAGATAAACACAAAATCTTATATTGTGAAGTGCCAAAGGCTGGCTGTTCCAATTGGAAAAGAATTCTGATGGTACTGAATGGATTGGCTTCCTCTGCATTCAACATCTCCCATGATGCTGTTCACTATGGGAAGCATTTGAAAACGCTAGATAGCTTCGACTTAAAAGGGATATATACTCGTTTAAATACTTACACTAAAGCTATATTTGTTCGTGATCCCATGGAGAGATTAGTGTCAGCATTTAGGGACAAATTTGAACATCCCAATAGTTACTATCATCCAGTATTCGGAAAGGCGATTATAAAGAAATATCGACCAAATGCCTGTGAGGAAGCATTAAATAATGGATCTGGAGTCAAATTCAAAGAATTCGTCCACTATTTGCTGGATTCTCACCGTCCAGTAGGGATGGACATTCACTGGGAAAAGGTCAGCAAACTCTGCTACCCGTGTTTGATCAACTATGATTTTGTAGGGAAGTTTGAAACTTTGGAAGAAGATGCCAATTACTTTTTACAGCTGATTGGTGCTCCAAAAGAACTGAAGTTCCCAAACTTCAAGGATAGGCACTCTTCCGACGAAAGAACCAATACTCAGGTGGTGAGACAGTATTTAAAGGATCTGAGTAGAACTGAGAGACACTTAATCTATGACTTTTATTACTTGGATTATTTGATGTTTAATTACACAACTCCAGTTTTGTAGTTTGCATTTATTTTCTAAAGCTCTGTATTTACTTAATGTCACCCTCAAATCAGCTACTGTAATTTTTCTATGATTCTCTGTGTGAGAGAAATTTAACTGGGTGCAGTTGTTTTGATTTAATGATAATTTTTACCGAATGGCGTGATAGCAATTGGCACAAAGTTATAAGAAAATCACCTACTGAAGATATGTAAGCAACCCACATTTTTGGAAAAGAGCTGCTTTAGCATTATGGATCACATTGTTGAAGCAATAATCTAGCCAGCTGCTACATTAACTGAAAAACAGCCTCTTGAGATGGTAAAATAAGGATTCTAAAATAGCATGGATGTGTATCTATATTGTGGAATTCACAGTCTGACGTGCATGAATCTATTTTTAACAATCTGTGGCATAATCAAACCATTGGAGAGTTTTCTTACACCCTGGAAATCTTTCTATCAACTGTAATGATAAATCCATTTTGAAATGATATTTTGGGCTTGGGCATTTTCCTTCAGATATTATGTATTTATAGTATGAGAATATAGCAGAAAAACCAGATGAACCTACGGCTTTTTTATATTTAGCAGCCAATAAAAAATGCGCGACATGCTAAGATCAAAGCAACGAAAGCAACCTTTCTCTTCCAGAAAAACTTAAGAGGATTGATTCTGTTTCCTTTTGAGCCCTCCATGAAAAGACAAAATGAACACAACTGCTAAAAATCTTCATTTCTGAAGCAGACGGCTGAGAGGTTTAAGCCTCATCAGATCTAAATGTGCTCCTAATTTCAGTTTAATTGGGCAGAGGGGAAATCGTTTCAGGATGGAATAATCATCAAAAACAAAAGTTGCCCTTCTGAATATAGACCTCTAACAATAACAAAGTTTTATAAGAATATTATTTGAATCAAAGCATCATGTGCATAACTTTATATGTGGAATACACTCTAAGAATAGCTTTTGTTTGCAGTCTAATTATTCAGCTTGGGAATGACTTTTTAAAAACTAATATACCACTTCAAAGATAGGTTATGTTCTAGAGAATAAACATAACAAGAGCCCCTAGAAATGATTTTTAATAGGCTTATGCATAAGCAAATTAAGGTATTTTCTTTTTAAGTTTAAATATTCTATACTAACAAAGTAAAATACCATTGCATTCAAATGTTAAATCAAAGTCTTTGGAAAATAGGACCATGTGTCAATGTATTTTGGAATTTTTTTCCAAGGGATCCTAAATTAAAAGACACATTTAGATGATGGGAAATGTATTTTAATTGGTCAACTATTACCCTGAATTAAGCCAAGCACATGTCAGCCAAACCTCATTTAAATGCCTTTCTTGAACATTTTCTTCTCCCTAAGCTATGACTGATTATCAGTAAATATTAAGTAGTGTCTCTCAAGGAAAAATAGCATTAGGGATTAAATATTGATAGACCAAGATTGTTACAGTCGTACTTATTTCATTTTCCCCTTCCATTTCATGCTGTCTATTCGTCAATGGTTCCACTCTTTACATACACCTGCCTGGGCCCATCTGTGCCTCTTAAGCAGTGAGTAAACTATAACAGGCTGAGTCATCAGAAGGATTAAACCTTCTCAACTGATGTTTTACTACTTTTCCATCCCATGCCCTTTTGCCTCTAGACCATACATGAGCTGTGTTTTACTCTAAGGTAATCTAAATTATATAAATGAAAATTTTGCCATTCTCTAGAGAATGGAGTCTTAGTATCTTAGAGACAGTGTAATTATCACTTTATAGAGAAAGACAGAAAATATAAAATAACCCAAGAAATCTGAAATTTTATCCTAAACTACACCAAGCTAGTTTTAGATGGAATCTGTAATAAAGGCAATTTTCTCAAAGATATTCCTAAAACCACATAGCAAAAAAAATAATTTTCTTTTCATAGCTTTGGAAAGAAAAAAAGATGGGAGCAAGGGTACTGTCCTTTTATTGGCATTTCTAATGGATTGAGGAGGGTGGGATACACACACACACACACACACATGATTATTCAGCTTTGATGATAGAGAAGGTGTGTGGCAGGGAAAAAAATGATGTACAATGCTCTCTGTCAATAGCTATTCTGTACCTTTTGCTGTATAGGCTCCTCCCTTATCTGTGGTTTCACTCTCCACAGCTTCCGTTAGCTGTGACCAACCATGGTCTGAAAATATTAAATGGGAAATTCCAGAAATAAGTCATTCATAAGTTTTAAAGTATGCACCACCCTTTGTAACATGATGCAACCTCTCGCCCTCCCATTCTATCTCACCTGAAACATGACTCACCCCTTTGTTCAGCGTGTCCATGCTGTATAAGCTACCTGTTCGTTGGTTACTTAGTAATCATCTATTAGCAGATTGACTATCACGGTATTGCCTTGCTTGTGTTTAAGTAACCTTTATGTAGTAGCCTGATACTACATCACCATGTCTGTATCATTCACCTCACTTCATTTCATCACACAGGCATTGTATGATCACACATCACCACAAGAAGGGTAGTATATTGCAGTGAGATATCTTGAGAGAGAGAGAGAGAGAGAGAGACCATATTTTTGCAAATTTTATTGCAATATATTGTAATAATTGCCAATTTCTTATTAGTTATTATTATTATTCTCTTACTGTGCATAATTTATGAATTAAACTTTACCACAAGTATATGTATAGGAAAAATATATAGCCTATACAGAATTTGGTACTACTGCCCATGATTTAAAGTACCCACTGGGGGACTTGGAACACACTTCCCATAATGAAAGGGAAGAACTCTATCCCTTTTCTGACCCTTCACTGAGGCTCAATTGAGTCTATATAACTACAGATGGTCCTTTGTTCTCTCATTCCTTAAATTAAACTCTCTGAAGCTGTATGTTCATATGGTTGTGCCTCCCAAAGACCAGGTGTGTTTTTGCCCCAGAAGTACAATCTGTTCAGGCACCTACTCTTCATTTTAGATGCCTTCTTTTCATGTTAGAACCAAAGACACCAGTCATTCTCCTGGAGTCCTTATGATTTTAAATACCTATGTCATTTATGACCCCTGCACTCTTCTGCTTTGCAAGCCAGGTCATGTCAGCCCTCATCATGTCTACCTGCGTATAAATTTGGGTGGGGACATCGCCGTTCCTTTGGACAGTTACAGTTTCATGAATTTAGCTTCTAAAGGCAATGACCACATCCAGACTCATCTTCCAGATGTCCAATGTTCCCATTTTAACACTAACATCCTTTAAGTGTAATTATGTGTCCTCTAATTAAACCCTAAGGATCCTATTTGTTTTTATAGGCAGCAGTAACACGATGGGCAGGCCCTTCACTCTGTTTTCCCCTGTCTGGAATTGCTATTAAGATAACAAGTTGGCAATTAAATGCAAAGCCACGGTTATTTGACCTGGGAAGCTACCTATGGATATGCATTATGGATGTGATCGCATCCAGAAACCACCACAAACTTCAAAGGACGTGTGGTGAAGAACACCCAATTTTGTATTTCCTCATATGTGTTTGGAAATATCCACTAAGCCAATGGAAACATGAGACCGTGTGCTATATTCTCTAATTTTACAGTCTATAAAACATTCTCTAGCCATTCAAGAGCTACCTGACTAAACTTTATAATTAGAAGGGAGAAATATACTTTTACATTTTATTCAGGAATAATTGCTGTTCAAAAAGGTGTTATCCCTTAAAACACATAGTGATTGCAGAGGGGAATATATGAGCAAATATAGAAGATTTTATTAGCGTTCCCTTTGAGATCTCCTGCTGAGTTGGTAGAATTTGGGAATAGCAGGCAGCCAACACAGTAAACATCTTCATAATGTGAGATCTTACTTGGCCTCTTGGGGCATTTTCAGCCTCTAGGTCTTTGTGGTACATGGAGAAGCAGAAGTTTTTTTGCCCAGAATTAACATCCCAAGGTGTTCCGATATTTGAAGAAAGTTTGACCAAAGTCGTTCAATACTAGCTCACTCACCCAAAACCTTTGGAACAAAGCTAACTTCATTTAATCCTCCCAGGATCCTACCTTCTCAATCTCAATCATAATCATGATAATAATATTCATGATCACAGCTAACATTTATTCCATATTTCTGGGCATTGAGCACTGCTTAAGTATTTTCCATACATTAATCTACCTATTCTCCATGTAAGTAAGAACTTAGATGCTATTATAAGCAGCCCCCTCCCTTCACACATATAAAAAAGGGACTAAAAATGTTGTTAAGTAACTATCCAAAAGAGACAATTAGGAAGTAGGTAGGGAGCCAGGATAAATGCAAGCAGCAAATACCACTGCCAAACTCTTTTCTTAAAATATTATAAACTTAAGTAATTACTTTTGCTTTCTCTTACCTAAATTTAAAACAGCTAAAGGTATATATATATATATATATATATATATATATATATATATATATATATTGCAATCTTGAATTTTTTAATACAAATATAAATATGTGTGCATTTAGTTAATAAATTCCAAACCAGTTTATCCCTTTATTCCTGCTGACTCAAAGATTTTTGAAGAAATTAGTCTTCCCTTGTTCTACATTTTTTTTAAACCACCATTGATCAGGAGATGCTACATTTTTTAAAAATGAACAAAAAGACCCTGAAAAAAATTTAGCCTAATAAAAAGAAAATATCATTTTCACAAGAAATTCCAGATAGGAGCAGTCAAGTTCAAGAGGAATACAGCCACTTTCCTCACATAAGCACTTTCCTACTTCAGTAGCTACTCAAGATGGTCGTGGCTCAGCAGATGAGTCACAGTGACACCTCCACAAATCCTGTGAGAAACTAAGCAATTGTCCATTTGGCTGAGTTCTCATCCCCAGAACCAGTTATAGTAGTCAGATAACTGAACTGACTTAGGAAGATTGTAGAAAAGAACAGAGGAACCCGTTGACTTAAACCAAATGCAAGCACCATGAGAAAAGGTCAAGAGGGATAAGGGCTGAGCTAGAAAGCGAGGGGCTTCTCCTAAGCCAGCTGGACACACTGCCTGAAGAAGGCCAAGTCTGAGGAGTTGGGAGTCCTGCAGAACATTCCTCACACCATTCACTTCTCAAAGGGCCTAGTCACTCGCATCTCAGTTCTTCCCAAGGCCATAGCCTTCCATGCAAATTTAGTCAAATCCATTTAAGCCCTCATCTTTTTCCATCTCTGAGGCTCTTCTCAACTCTCACCAGTATTTGGAATGTTGTCTTGTCTATCTACTTGGACATTTGTCTCATGTTAACTCACCAAAGAATCTCAGATTATTCAATTTTGAAATCTCATCTCTTCATGAGCAATCTGATTGATCAGTGGGAAAAGTCAAAATTATTTTCTCATGTGACACACATCAGACACTTATGAAAAAGTGGAGACATTGCTTCCATGAGTGTTTTTCTTTTCTTCTTTGCTTCATTAATTTGTTTGTTCATTTGCGATCTGTCCCTTCTTCTGTGAACATAAAATCTCTGTTGTCTCTGGAACATGTCTTAGGTCTCCCAAGAGGAAAGGAACTGATTCCATCTGATTGACCTTGAACTCTGTCCAACAGAGGGAGACACAGAGAGTTATTGTAGCAAATGTTTTTGTTGCTGAAGGTTAAAGATC